GTTCATCTTTCATCTTGAGACAGTCTCAGAGGAACACCTGCGAGTTGGCATCAGGAAAGAGGGTAGAGGAATTGACAGTGGTGGGTTCTTAACCTAGACCCAGGGTGGTCCAGGAGTAAGGCCTGGGACTGGATCGCATGGGAGGTAGACTGCCCTTAGGAGCAGGCTCTCAGGAGGTCACAGAAACTGGAAGGACATGTGGATAGGCCAACTCCTGGTCAGACAAGCCAGCACATGGGGACTTTCTCTGAGGGCCGACGCTTACTTCTTCACTTTATGTTCCTTTCTGCTGCTTGTTTTCACTCTGTTCTCTTTCTACACTGTTCTTCTACCCTGATGGTTTCCTGCTCCTTCTCCTCCTCCTCCTCTTTCTTCTCCTCCTCTAAGAAAAGAAATCTTTTTAGCAGCTCACTTTTGAATCCCTATTAAAAAAAAAAAAAACCAGTGAAAATTATTCAAAATCTCTTTGGTCAGTGTTGACAGTGTTGACAGAAGGCATGTCAGGCAGCCATCTCCTTGTCTACCTGTGAGGGCCAGTTATTTTCCTTTCTCTTTTTCCAGAAAATGATGAGTTTTGAGTTATCCAATTATATGAATTACTGTTTGAAAAGGTCACAAAAATTACAAAAGATGAAGGAATAAAACTTCCTTTTTTTCTTCCCTGAGGCTGCTTAGAACAGGCAGTGACCTTGGGGAACTCCTTTCTCCTCCCTGTGTGCATTCCACTTAGATGGCAAGGGACCCTGGGTGAGAGGCTCAGCCCATCCCTTTCCCACACAGGGACCAGCACAATGGGGACCCTGAGCAGGAGTCAATCCACAAGATCTCTGAAGTGGGGCAGCCGGGGCTGTTTTGTGTTTGTGTGTGTCTCTGGGTGACCTGGAAGAACCAAAAGAGTTCAGGTCCCCAGCACAAGTGGCAAAGGCCTTAAGCCTGGGAGGGACAGTCTCACACCAGAGAAAGTCACCATTCAATACAAGAAAATGGAACTGATAAAAACACAGTAAAGACAACCAGGGGTGAGCACCACATACTCACACACCAGAAAGAGACAGGGTGAACCCAGTGACATCTGACATGGTTCCTGGACACTGGATCAGCAGCTGCATCTGACCTCTCCTATGTGTCCAAACAGAGGCATCACCGTAACAAGACTTAACACTAAGGTGACAGACCAGGAAACTCTCTCATTTGTTCCCTTTTGGGATGGAGGTGGTAGACTCTTCTGAAGCTTTAGGCAATGACTGATCAAGGGGAATCCTGTGTACCTGCAACATCTCAGGTTAGGCACCCTCTAGGAGTGCCTTGACCACTAGTGTCCTCTCCATTCCAAGGGGCTCTGAGACCTCCTGGGTCCCAAGGTCTAGTCTCTGGGGATCTGTGTGAGACTTCCAGAAATGCTGTGTGATATCCACCAGAGAAGACAGCTTGGATTTGGTTTTAATCCAAGAGGAAGTCTTTATTAGCTGTCCTGGGACTAGTCTGGGTGTTCAGGACACCAGTGTAGCACTGAGCCTTTCTCAGGGTAAGCTTTTAAGCACAACATCCACATTCTGAGTTGACATAGTTCGGTCGACAAGAACAGTTAGCCAGAAGTGGAACTACAGAAACCAGTAAGCATTGAGAGACTTTCCCAGAACTACTGACATTCATAGATTAGGTCTCTCTTTTCATTTGGCTGCTGGTGGTGTCTACATGCTGAGTTTAATAGCCTGAATGGCACTTCCATCATGAAGTCAGGTGTGCAAAGGTCTTGGGGCATGTTACAGTATTTTCAGAAAGAAAACTTTAAAATGATTATGTCCTTCCTCCTCATTTATTTTATTACAACCAATTCCAAACCTGAAAATTATCCCACATATTTTATATCACATGGAAATATTTTTAAATAACAAATGGCTTCAAGATCCCTTTGAACTAAGTACTAAAGGTTCTGGTTGGAAAGTCCTGACAAACCCTCCCCATAACAAAGCTCAGGGACGTCTTTTTATCTTTTTGTTGATTTATGTCCATGGTCAAAATGGTTTCAGTTTCTCAGTACTGCAACCTACTTCAAAAGTTACATACAGTGCTTCCATCATTTGCTCACTAAGCCAACTCCAGAAAGCCCCACTGTATTGCAGGAGGAAATAAAAGACAGTGGCAGAGCCCATCTACCTGTGCTGAGCAGCAAGAGCAGGTAAGAAGGGACATTTGCTCTTGTAGGTCTGGGGAGTTCTGATCTGGAACATGGAACCTAACCCTGACTAGGAATGAGAAGGCATTGTTGAGGGTTAATTCACTTTCTTTAGAATTTCTCTAACTAGAAAAGGCTGCACCTGGACTTGGCTGGGGCACAGCTGCAGATCAATCCTGGGTGGTATTATCAGGGCAGCCAGGCTCTAAAGGACATACTGGGCTTGCTTTGAGTTAGGGAACAGCATATGTGCAGCTTAACCAAGGGTGAAAAACACACTGGGATTGCCTTTCTCTGTGCTCACACTGTCTGCTGATGGGCACAGTTAAATGACTGTGGTCAGTGACGGAGCAGAGCTGATGCCTTCCCACTCCTACTGAAAGGGCTGCCTGTGGCTGATTTTCATGAGGGGAAGGGAATGACTTGTAGTGTGAATAGCCACAGCCTCCAGTGAAGAGATGCGATCTGTTGTAGAGCTTTATATGAGTGTTTGGCGGCCCAGGAACAGAAACTCAGCTTACCCTACACACCATGTTACAACTTGGCAAATTTCTTGACATTTCTGTAGAAAAAGAATTTAAAAAGCCATAGATCGTACTTTTGAAATACATTGTTGGCTACATGGAGCAGGCAGGTTGTAGCAAAACAGTTGAGCTACAGGCCTTCTGATGATGCAAGAAATAGCTCTGAAGGCAGCTAAAGATAGCCCAGGAAAATGTGGCTCCAGACTTTGCAACATTCCATCTCTCCACCATCACACAAATTCTAATCAATCAGTCAGCCTTGCAGTTCACTGACACAGTTGTGGCTGTTTTGTAGGAAACTCAGGTCATAGCTGAAACCCAGAGTGAAAGGTGAAGGACAGGGTAGTCACCATCACACATCTGATCTTGGCTTCCAAGTGAATTTCCTCCTTCACCAGGAAGATTGGCTCATTCTTCATGCCCACTTTCTTCTTAACCCTCACCTTTAGGATCAGCCCTGTACTGTAGTGAACAGCTTTTTTAGAAGATCTCCCTGAAAACAAGACTGAAGTCAATGTCTGGCTCTGTATGCCATGAATGTATTGCTCTTATTGATTGATATATAAAATCCTGACTGGCCAGTAGCCAGGCAGCAAGTATAGTATAGGTGGGATAAGAGATAGGAGAATTCTGGGAAAAGGAAGGCTGAGTCAGGAGATGCTGTCAGCTGCAGTGGCCATGAGATGTAAGACATAAAGTACTGGTAAGCCACAAGCCAAATGGCAATGTATAGATTAGTAGAAATGGGTTTATTTAAGATATAAGAACTGGATAGCAAGAAGCCTGAGCCATTAGGCCATACACTTTAAATAATATAAGCGTCTGTGTGTTTATTTGGGTCTGAGTGGCTGCGGGCCTGGGCGGGACTGGAAATAACTCCAGCTACAGTGTCTGCTTAATTTGTCCCCAACTCCAGGCCCTCAGGCTGCTGTTCCTGTCTCCTGGAAACCAGAATGGTAGTCCAGTCACCATTCTCACTCATAATGTTCCTGCTTTATAGCTGTTCTGCCTGATCAGCTTGAGCCTCTTATTCCAGGTCTTTGACTGCCACCTCTTTGCATTTCTCTTTTCTTTTCCAAATGAGAACTAAACAGAAAACCTAAAGAAGAATAGCAGGAAGTCATTTCTTTGAACCAACAGCTCCCTGATATCTTGCTAAGTACATTATAGTTGTTTTCTGCAGTATCCAGTATTCTCATCGATGTACTGACAGCCTCTCTAGATTTTGGCTCACTTACTGTGCAGCTGTTTTACTGGTCACTGATCTTGTGTAACCATGTGTGGCACAAATCTTAAAAGTTCTTATTAACAAAAACAAACCTGGAGCTGGTTATTGGGGTGAATGCTTGAAGATCAGAAAAGCAGAACAAGTCACAGCCATATCACTTTGCCAATTTCTTAGCTGATCCTGTTTCCTCAGACTGGAAGCTTCTGAGTCCTCATCCAAATGGATCTCAGCTGAACTGCTGCTCAAAAGTCTAAAAGCTTAACCAGACCCTAGTTCCTGCTTTTCACACATTATATACCTTTCTTCTCCCTGCCATCACTTCCTGAGATTAAAGGCATGTGTTGCCATGCCTGGCTATTTTACATATAACATTGAACATAGATGTCCAGATGGATCTCTGCCTTCAGGATGTTAGGAATAAAGGTGTGTGTGCCACCATTTTCTGGCCTCATAAGGGTGCACAATATTTTGGGGAATACTATCACCACAACCATGTCCTTGGAAAAGTCACTGTGATGTATTTTCATTAATTTTCACAAAAATATGTTATATTCCTTCATGTTGGTAATGCAATTAATTCTGTGTCTAGAGACTCATGTCTATTACATGATTATAAATACTAGTATACTACAGGTAGAATGAACATATTTTATAACCTATAGAAATTATTATCATAGCATATATCAAACAATGAAGCATTAATTCCTGGGTGTCTTTATTAATTATAGTGGTAAATAAATGACTAAATGAATATTTAATTGATTATATACAGTTGCAATATGAAATCATTTCTCGATCTGATTCTTTTTTATTTGATGTTTAGTATAAAATCTTTAATAAGGAAAGTTTTCAATGCTAGATTAAATGGAATATTTGTGTTGAGAGCAGCAGAATGTTGTCACAGTGACTTTATAAATGAAAAACTTTAAATAATATTTTATAAGATTTTAAGATTTTACAGATTCTCTCACATACATTTCTGATGCATGCAACAAGGTTGTGGTTTTTAAGGATTTGATAACTCTACCTTCTGAGTAAAAAGAACTAATTACAGTTAATCTTATCTCTTCCTCTATAGACAGGGGACAAGCCTGCACAATGGCCTCAAAGGTCCACATGCAAGGCCCTGTATACCTCATTGAGAATGTGAAAGGGCAACTGACAGCCAAAACGGAAGCTCTGGAGATCCTGTCTGCCATCAAGCAGCCTATGGTAGTGGTGGCCATTGTGGGCTTCTATCGCACAGGCAAATCCTACTTGATGAACAAGCTGGCTGGAAAGAACAAAGGTGAGTGCCACCAACAAAGCTGAGCTGGGTCCCCTGTGTCTACTCACATTGTCTGCTTCCTGCATGAGAGTGTGAAGAATTTAATATTCCAGTCACAGTTGGATGTGGGGATCCTTTTTGTTGATATTGTTGCTTTGTCCATTTGCTTTCATTTCTTGAGACCAGTCATGCTATATAGTCCAAGCAGGCCTTCAGATTATCATGTAGTCCAGGCTGACCCTGAACTCATGATCTTCTTGCCTTGGCCTCTTGAGAGCTGATTACAGGCCTGCACTACCACATCAAACCCCTAGCTTCCCTTCTAAAACTGTACTGGTTCATTTCCTAGACAGACAAAGGCACTAGTAAAGATAATTAAATTTATATGTTAATTAGATTTAAGATATAGGTAAAATGTTCTGTAGCAACAGCAAGTTTCTACTGGTCTTTAAGGTTATAAAAAATCTACCTATAGTTTATGTATTGACTTTTTTATTCATATAAATTATATAAGATTTATCTTTATAATTTTTAAGCATATGGCTATGTGTCAATAAAGAAATTTATGATTTGTGTATAGTCCCCACCCATCTCTAGAAGGAAGCTCATTGCCCAAACCATCCCATTCTTCCACATGCTATATTTATGAATATGAATGTCCTAGGAATGTCATATGTATGGATTTGTACAAAACATAGAGATTTTTGGAACTGGTTCTTTCACTTATGACACCTTCAAGATTTATCAAAGTTTTCTCCCTTTTTGAGGTTCAGTGATAATAAATGTCTAACATTACCTTATCCATTTGCCTGTAGACAAGACAGCTGAGTACTCTGAATGATACTAACATGAAGATGGCTATAGAGATATCTGTCTGAGCCCAGGCTTTCAGGTTTTCTATGTTATATTAGTCTCATCACAGATCAAATGACCGTTGGAGGCAATGTAAGGAAGAAGGATTTACTTTGCTCACAGTTCAGGGGAAATCAGTTCACTATGGCAGAGGAGTCAGGACTTTATGACTCCATGTGTAGTGGAAGGAGCTTGTGGCTGTTCATATCATGCCTCACCAGGAAGCAGAGAGCAGAGGGCCACAAACAAGGCCAGTATTATTACAGTCAAAGGCCTGCCCTCTGCCAGCCAGGTCCTACCTCCTAACGCTTTCACATTACCCAACACAGTACCACTAACTGTGGACCAAGTGTTCATATACCTGAGCCTATGATGGCCATTTTACATTCAAACCGTAACATTCTTCTCCCGCCAAAAAAAAAAAAATGCATGTGGTCTTAATTCAAAAGTCCCCATCATCTTAAAGTTTTAACAGCATATGGCAGTCTAGTCCCATATGACAAACATCTGTGATCTTTTACAAAATGAAATTTTAAATGACATGCTTGTAATATACAATGGCATAGAATAAACATCCCCATTTGCAATGTTCAGGGGGATGGGAAGGACAGGTCACACCATAGCAAGACTGAACCCAGAAGGACAAACATAACCCTGTGGCTCCATGTGCAGCATATATGGCATGTGGTGGCCTTCTCTAGACCACAGCAGCTTGCAGACCCTGCCTCCTGATTCCTGCTGTTTACAGGATACAAAGGCTCCCTCTACAGTTTAGGTCCACTCATTGACTCCAGCTTTCCTCAGTGGACTTCCCAGGCCTGACATCCCTAACTTCCTGGATCTCCACTGTTACTTCAGCTTTACCCCACAGCCTCACACAGCAAGCTCAGGAGCTGTGCTTGAGAAACTGACCCTGCTGCACATTTTCTGTGGATCCTTGATGCAAGCCTGGATGACCATTGCATTCTGCATCTCTGAAAACTGAGTTTCTGTTATGACTCTGACTGTGAGATCAGCACCAGCTTTGGTTTTAGTTCATTCTTCTGACTTGATTGTACTGATTTTTCAAAAGAGATGTATTTATTTTATATTCACATGTACAAGTATTTTGTGTGAGTACAACCCTGCATCCCTAGTATTCACAAGTATTAGAAAGGAACATAAGGCTCCCAGAAACTGTATTTATAGACAGTTGTAAGCTGTTATGTAGATTCTGGGAACAGAGTTCTGGACCTATGCAAGACAGCAAGCACACTTAACCACTGAGGCATCTTCCCTATTTGATTATGCTAATTTTATTATCACTCTCTGAAGCACCTGTTTCTACACATCTAATCCCTTCTTTCCTCTCTGCATTTCAGGCTTCTCTCTGGGCTCCACAGTGCAGTCTCACACCAAGGGGATCTGGATGTGGTGTGTCCCTCATCCCCAGAAGTCAGACCACACCCTAGTTCTGCTTGACACAGAGGGCCTGGGAGATGTGGAGAAGGTAAGGATTGAGTGCCCAGTGTGCAATTCAGCCCCTGATCTTTGGAAATTCTTCACTATCCTCTATGTTGTCTTAAAAACTTGTTATATATTTATTTGTGTGTGTGTGTGTGTGTGTGTGTGTGTGTGTGTGTGTGTATGTGTGTGTAACATATGCCATGATGCATGTGCTACAACTCCCATATGGAGGTTAAAGTAAAACATGTGAGTCACTTCTCTTTAACACCATGTGGTTCTGGGGATCGAACTCGGGCACTAAGGCTTGGTTGGCAGCAAGCATTTCTGCACATCAAGTCTGGTCACTAGATCCATAGTTTTTTGAAGACTTGTTTGAACTTCATCATAGCACCCTTTTCAATCTACTTACATGACATGAAGTCACATTTAGCCAACAGAGGTGAGGGAACTAGTCACAAAACTGGGTCACAGAACAGCAGGTTGGTGGTCTGCAGTCCTGAAACACTAACCACAGACTAAGAAGCACCAGTGAGAATCATCACAACTGAATCCACGAACCATAGGAACATTTTTAAGGCTAAAATCCCCTCTAATGAAGTGAATATATTTTATCACTGCTGATCTAGAAAGTGACATAGAACAAAACATACTCCTGACCCATGTATGTTCTGACTCCCAGGGTGACAACCAGAATGACTGCTGGATCTTTGCCCTGGCTGTACTTCTGAGCAGCACCTTCGTGTACAACAGCATGGGAGCCATCAACCAGCAGGCCCTGGACCAGCTGCAGTATCCTTTCTGAGGTTCAGAACACCAGAGTGAGCGGGGTGACCTTCCCTCATGATCCAGCTCCATGTCTGCAGCTCTTGGTTTATGCAACATAAAACATAAAAATAACTCAACTATACGTATCTACAATTTTCACACCAAGGAGAATGAAGGTTTGGGACTAGGATTTGGCACAATGGGGACCCTGCAGATTTGGTTGATGCTGTGGTTGTTTCATGACTTTCCTTAATTAGCTGTTCAGCTATGTGACAGAGCTGACAGACAGAATCAGAACAAGATCCTCACCTGACCAAAATGAGTTGGAGGACTCAGATGAATTTGTGAGCTTCTTCCCGGACTTCATGTGGACTCTGAGGGACTTCTCTCTCGAGCTGAAAGTAAATGGGGAACCCATCTCTGCAGATGAATACCTAGAGAATTCCCTGAAGCTTATACACGGTAAGAGACCTACAGCTGCTGATGAGGAAGTCAATTAAAACTAAGAATTCAGGGGCTGGAGAGATAGCTCAGAGGTTAAGAGCATTGGCTGTCCTCAATTTACCATCCTCCTACCTCAACTTTCAGTATGCCAGGACTATAAATGCTCACATGACTGAATTTAAAGTATGTATACTCACCTTTCAATCCCTAGCTGAAAACCCTATATTTCACTTCATCTAGGTACGGGTCAAAGAGATAAAGAACAAAAGCTTAATCTCCCTCGGCTCTGTATTCGTAAGTTCTTCCCAAAGAAGAAATGCTTTGTCTTTGAGCGGCCAGCACACGGGAAGAAGCTTGGCCAGCTGGAATCGCTGCAGGAGCAAGACCTGGACTCAGACTTCGTGGAACAAGTGGCAGAGTTCTGTTCCTATGTGTTCAGCTGTTCCAAGGTTAAAACGCTTTCAGGAGGCATCAAGGTCAATGGACCACGTGAGTCCCTTCCAGTCCTTCTGCTCACTGTTTAGGCCACAGCATCATGAGATAGCAATGACCTGCTTCAGCTCTGAAGAAATGTAGACCTGTCACCACTGTAGGGCTAAGCTGTGGATGTCACCACCATTTATAATAGACTTTGTTTATCATATTTTCTTGTTGGAAAAAGAGAAAAAGGGGTAAAAGAAAAATTTGAAAAAAGAAACCTTTAAAGTACCCTGGCAAACTGGACCTGTATTCACCTACCATAGCCACTAAACAGGTATGGCTCTTAAAATTTAAATGTAAGTACAGTAAAATCTACATGGAGGCAGTCATTGTCACATTAGTACATACAGAAAGTTCTCTTGGGCAGTGATATTTATTTTATTCAGCCTGATAGAGAAGTTCTGACTGAGAGAGCATGTTTGGCTCCAAACTTGAAATAAAATGCTTACTATGGATAGGACTGGTGACACAGATAAGCATAAAAGAAGTATGGAGCCTGTTCTCATGGTGCTTTCCTTTAAAGGCACACAAACATTCCATAGACACAGGCCCATGTAGTCTGCATCCAGCACTCTTAGCCTTTGGGGTCTCACACACCTCATTACAGATGTATCTTTGCACAGAAGTAGGTGTAATGCCATCAATGTGAGGTAGAGGCTGAGATACTTCTGTCTCTCATTCTTCCAAATGATGCTAAGGACATAGAAGCTTTAAGGCAACAATTATTGAAATATCTAGAATTAGAGAATAGTGTTGTTTTTATCCATCTACAGCAAATATTGTCACCACCTGTTTCCTGGTTGTAGGACTAAAGGGCTTGGTGATAACCTATGTGAACACCATCAGCACTGGGGGTCTGCCCTGCATGGAGAATGCTATCCTGGCTTTGTCCCAGACAGAGAATGCAGCTGCAGTGCAAAAGGCCATTGCCCACTATGACCAGCAGATGAGCCAGATGTTGAAATTGCCCACAGAGACCCTCCAGGAGCTGCTGGATCTGCACAGGACCATAGAGAAAGAAGCTACCAAGATCTTCATGGAAAATTCCTTCAAAGATGTTGATCAAGTGTTCCTAACACAATTAGGAGTAATTTATCTTTCAAGTTGACCTCTTATGTAGATGTTGGAAGGCAAAGTGCTATGAGGAAATGAAATTGGTGTTTAAGGAGGGGCAACTGTTACTAGATTTTGAAATAGAAACAGCTACGTATTAATAATCACAATTATCAGGAAAAATTGATTATCAAAAACTCAAAGATTTAAAATATCTCTCCTTTCATTAATTATCTAGTACTATTTCCCTTCCTGAATTGAGTACAAAGAAATAATTAGTGTGTCTGATCAAGTTGCATGCCCAATGTCAACAGTCTGATTCAATATTTAAGACAATAGAAAAGAAAATTTTAATCTTAGCTATCAGAGGCAAATTAACATTGAGCCGTGTTTATTTTCTGTAGCATCTCTGGTGCAGTGTGGAAAAGTAGTTTACCTCTAAAGGTGTAAATCTCTCCTCTGAACTACACTGCTACAAAGCAAGGATGACATCATTAAAAAGCTGGATCAGAGGAAGTTATAGTTATAGTCAGTGCTTTAAATTTTCCTTTGTTTGGGGTTTTCTGTTTTTCTTTTGAGAAATGATCCCAGAATTTCTAAACTCAGGCTTCTTTTTTAATTTTTTCTTTTCATTTTTACATTAAAGGCCGAGTTAGAAACAAAGCAAGGCTATTTCTATAAGAAGAATCAACAGGCATCCTCAGATCACTGCTTAACTCTAATTCAGGATATTTTTGGTCCACTAGAAAAGGATGTGAAGATGGGGGTTTATTCTAAACCAGGAGGATACTGTTCTTTTAATAAGAAGATACAAGAGTTGAAGAAAAAGTACTATCAGGCACCCAGGAAAGGGATTCAGGTAACCAAGGTTACGTGTGTGTTCTAGGAGTTGCTTACCTTTAGATAGCAGCATGATCCCAAGCATCACTGGAACAGGGTCTTATTGTTTTCATACCGGGCCTATGCTTCCTCAACATTGCATACATCAAGGTTATCACATCCTGCTTACTCATCAGACACAGTGTACTCACTTAACAGTTGAGTTAAAACTGAACAATCACATTAACCACCAATATGACTGCCAACCTGTTTCCAATAGACTCTTCATGTTGTGAAGGACCCAATGGTAGGGCCTTAAAGAAAACTTATATTGCATCTATTTGGGATTCAAACTAGCTTTAAGAGACAACTGGGTCCAATAATATCACCCTATGACTCCCTGTCCATCACTCTTCCCCAGGCCCGCACTTTCTCATTCTGTCAGATCTTTTTGTTTTTCCCTAGGGCTACAGTAAACTCACTGCATCACCATCAGCTCCAGATTTAGAGCCTGAATAAAGGCATTCATTAGTGGGAACTGTTTCTATGCCTAAGAATCTTGCACCAAGAGGAAGGGGAGGGGGGTGGGGAGACAGGCAACAAAGTGTTCAGTCATTCCTGTTGTTAACCTCATGTTCTCTGGACTCCAAGGCTGAAGAAACTCTGCAGAAGTATTTGCAGTCCAAGGAGGATGTGATTGATGCAATTCTATGCACAGACCAGGCTCTGACACAAAGAGAAAGACAGATTGAAGGTGAGGCACAAGTTAAAAGACTGTGTGCCCTGGAAAGCTATGACAAGTTTAAATTCCTTATAAACCTGGGATCCTAAATCAGAGCTAGAAGAACAAAGCTGTGTCTGACTGGCTGGAATCAGACTTGGTACTATGACGTCAGCAGTAAAAATGAAGTACGTGAAGAAGAGAGGAACAGATAATACATTTACACCGTCCTTCTCACTTTCCTTTCCAGTGGAACGTGTGAAAGTTGAAGCTGCAAAGAATACAGCAAAAATAAAGGAGGATATACAGCAGAAGAATGAGCAGTTGCTGCAAGAGAAAGAGAAGATTTATTGGGAACGCATGCAACAGTTGACTGAGAAGATGAAGAAGGAACAGGCCCAGATGATGGAGGAGCAACAGAGGGCCACTGAGCACAAACTTCAGGTATTGCCATTGCACCTCCTCTATGTTCTCTTCATTTAAAAACATTTTTGAAATGTGTGTAAACATATTTAAAAATATGTGTGTGTTGTGTGCGTGCATATATATTTGCACATGTGCATGTAATATCTATAGAGGTCTGAAGAGGGAGTCAGATCCCCAGGATCTGGAGCTATAGGTCCCTGTGAACCACCCGATTTGGATGCTTGCAACTGAATTCCAGTCTGTACACACTCTTCACTGCTGATCCATCTGTCCAGCCTCCTCCTGTTCTCCATTTCTGTTCGTCATGAAATGTGATGAAGCCTAAAGGCTGACTAAGCCTGTTCCCTTGTGCTATTAATTCCTAAACACATGCTTGATAGTCTGTTGCCCACGTCTGGGGATTAAGTTTTCAATGTGTAATGGTGTCACGCTAAGTCCTTTAGTAATATACCTATTTATTTATGACAGCTATACTCTTTATATTTTATCTTTATTTCTTTCTTAAGACTCTATGAACCATAAAGTATAACTATATTACATGGAAGAAACACAGGTTCACATAAGATTAAAAATATGCAATCTTAGTAGTTTGGGAAATGGAGGCAGTAGGATCAAAAGGTCCAAGTCATCATTAGCTATATAGGGAATTCAAAAAGTTAGTAAATGAGCACTATTTATAAGATACATACAACAGATTAAACTGTTTTTCCCACAGTGGAATCCACAAAGATAGCTTTTGTTTTTTGGGTTTTGTTGTTGTTGTTGTTGTTGTTGTTGTTTGTCTCACATGGTATGAGTTTATTCCTAAGAGAGTTTATTCCTGCCGGGTGGTGGTGGCGCACACCTTTAATCCCAGCACTCGGGAGGCAGAGCCAGGCGGATCTCTGTGAGTTCGAGGCCAGCCTGGGCTACCAAGTGAG